AGATCAACACCAAAGTAACCGCCAGACGTTGTGTAGGCACATAAGCACTGCCACACATCGAGATGCTAAAATGTGCAACTTCTATGCCATTAATTCGTGTTCCCTGCAAATATATGCCATAAAATACTCACAAACGTGAGTCACACTCTTAAACTTTGCTTTCAGGAATCCAAAAATTTCAACTTATGTTAACTCTGGTATAAGCATATGTACATTTCGCGTGTTTAGAAAATCACTTAAAGCTTTATTAACTGATCATCTTAATTGATGTATGCGGAGTTTCGACCATGTCTTATGTTATACTATAACTGATAGTCTTGTTTCTATCTAAGTATGTGCAAGTTTCGGTAATACATTTATATTCTGCCAAAGAGCCAAAAGCGTTTTTTTGCATATTTGTTTAAGTAAGCACGTCAGAGTGTGACGCTGTCAGCTGATCGTTCTCCCTTGTTCTGTTTGAGGTTTCGTGTAGGTACATTTTTCAGGAAATGAAAAATTTGTTGAACGGCTTATTCGATACCATTGAAGTTTATCTCTAAATCTTCTTCGTGTCGCGTACAGAAATTCGTTTACGATTTACAGGACTGCTGGTGTACATGTCAGCTGTTCAGCGTAACTCAATTGTCGGAACCTTAGAACGAAGGGTAGCTTGCTACTAATCTTTATAGCTTTTGAATGGTAGGCTGTTTGCATCAATGATGCTCTACCTCGGGAACTTATTCTAAAGTATGCTTGGTTTTGAATATCTATTCTTTGAGGATTTTCTCATATCTCGACATCGAAACACTCTGTACATGCGCTCAGGTTTGCAAAGTAAGGCGTATTTGGTGTTTAAAGATATTTCTTAGTTCTGGTATAAGTGTGCCTTTGACGGCAGCAACTGGAAGAGGACGAATTTGTTTAATTTCCAGAGAGATGTTCAGGTGGGGTGTCTCTGTTTATTTTACAGTTGCTAGCCCGAAGTTGTTGAAAAAATCGCACAACGCTGTCAAGGATTCTTAAGGGAGCTTATTCTTCGAGGGTGTCGCAATATCAATGATGACGCAATAAGGCTAGTTTTATTTCGAGTAACAGAGTTGCTTGATACATCACTGTTTTGTTATTTTTTTCATGAAACGTTTCTTTCAGACGATTTACAAGCTTGTGTCGCCTTATTGAAATGCTTGATTTATCAGAATGTCAGCATTTGACCAATGAGACATGCAAGTACCTTGGACAGAATTGCCCTGAACTTCAACAACTCTCTCTTGCTTCGTGTCCGCATATCGGTGACGATGGATTAAAGAAGTTAAGGTATGTTTGAGACTCTGGAGGGCGTTTTATGTTGCTATCGAGTTACACTAAATTGATCACCCAGCATGTGTTTATCCATTGATGTTCTCACCACATTTCAACTTGTTGAACTCGTGGAATTGACTTGCAATTTCTTCCATTTGTCACATTTCTTTTCAAGCATTATTACTGCATTCATTTTGCTTTTGCTGTGATCTATTACATTTTTTCGTTTTGGCTGAGGTTGTTGAATTCGGCATATTGACTGAATATTTACTTAGTATAGTGTGCTGGTAAGTTTTGCGGAATTCGTTATGCGAGCTAACTGGTCTTCTTTTGGTCGACATGTTATTTGAGGGCATTGAAAACAAGATAAACTCGTCGTTATCCCTTCCTTGTACATGGGCTGTTCTCTACATTCCTTAATGGCCATCGGGACTAAATGATTGGCAGCGATTGTCATTGATTGTATGCCTTTTATCGACAACATTGTAGGTTAAAGGCAGAGTGGGTCTTGTTTTGAGCAACATTTTCAAACGTTAAAGTTGTTCTTCTGTCCGGAGGACGGCCACGTCACATCGGTTGATGGAAGGCCGGTGGTGCGACTTTCAAATTAAACTGGTATATTGAGCTCCTGTATTTTCGTACCAAGTGCTTTGTTAAGATCACCATTACGGATTAAGATTAATAAATTTATTTGGGGTCTTGTGGGCTTTTCTAGTGGGGCGTTTGATTTTGCCGGTGGTTTATTTTATTACTGAATTAGATAATTAAACGGCTATTTCTATGCCTTACTCCATACGCTTTGCGCATGCCTACGCAATGTCAAATTTTACGGATTTGGCAATCTTAAAAATGGACTACTTACTTTGGTCAGAGTTGAGTTATCACGGCCAAATGTCCTCACTGATCAGAATGGTCTCAATTTTTCGTTCCCTTTTCATTCTTCTGCAATGCTTCTCAGCGCTTGTGACCGGCTGACTCACTTGGACGTCTCTTGGTGTGCTGTGGGAGATGATGGTTTGGCTGCCATTGCACAGGGGTGTCCCGGTCTCAAAGAACTCAAAATCATGGGCTGCCATGATGTCACTAGCAGAGGTGTCGGCCATATCGCCAGCCGTTCCTGTGGTCTGCTTCTGCTTAGTCTCAGCCATTGTGGCCAGGTACGTCCTCACTCTCATTCCATCTCTTGGTGTTCGTACTTTTGCACAGAAACGCTTCCATTCCATGATCATGGTTTTTATGTTGAAGCTTTGTTTTTTGACCTTGTAGCGCGACTATCTTTAGGTGCGCCATTCCAGATGGCAAAAGCATCGTGCTAGGACATGCGACCTCAATGATTACGCATTTTTTAATGACTACTCAGTGCTTCGTTAATGCGGCACTTTTATTCGCACTTCACAGAATATTACCGATGAGGCGATGGTTCATCTGGCTATGGGCTGCCACTTTTTGCGAGCCCTATCGATATCGCTGTGTCAGATCACCGATGCAGGTTTGCGGGCTCTTGCAGGCACTCTGCCGCCTTCGACGGCAGCAGAGATGTTGGGTATCAATATGTCAGTTCCCTCAGCACCACTGTCCGCGTCTGCGCACGCCGGTAACGGTAGGGCGACGCGCACCCCGCGCAACCGCCCTGTCAGCGAGACCAGCGGCGGCGGTGGTGGAATTGGAGGTTTCTTCGCTAACGGTGGGACCGCTCACCGCCACTCTTCTGCTTCCACCTCCCCCCTCACTGCTCCTAACTCGCCTTCCGGGTGGGAGGCATCTAGCCTCCAGCCTAAACCCCTCGTTGTTGCCGGCTGTAAGGAACTAAGAGTGCTTGAGGCCAGCCAATGCATCCAAATAACTGATACCGGTCTTGCTGCTCTTGCTCGAAATTGTGTCAATGTAAGCGTAGATCATATTGTTCAAGCCATTTCATTGTATTCTGTCTTAATTTTCGCATTCTTTCATGCTCTAGCTTTTGTACACATCACCGGGATGCATCTCATTGTCTCATTTTTTATTTATTTTTGGCTGTTGCAGGCCTATTTCAAGTGGCTCAATTCTTCAGATGAAGTGGTACTTGTTTTCTATAACTTTTGCCGGGAATTCGTTGGTTATTATCCTCATAGTGATTAATTTTGTTTTCTTCTTTGAAGCACGCGTCTTATGTCAAATAAATAAGCACAGTTGCGTGCTTCTGATTTATTGATATAATTATTCGTTCTTTGGTTACAGGTTAGAAGTATTTTTGGTTTGCGTTCACTAACATTACGGAAAGTTTCTCTACCAAGTGCAACGAGTAGCATAAAAATAAGCGTTATGCGGGTCACAGTTCCGTGGAGAATGAAGCTTTGGTTTGTTTGATTAAAAGTGTTAGGCAAACTTTCTATGAATGTTGAGTTATTGTGCCCATTACAGATGGAATGTAAAACTTTAAGGCTCTTAATGGTAGTTTTTGAATTTATTTCCACGAAGATTGCATCAAGAATTGTGAAACTGTAATTGGGGGCTTTGGAGGACCTAATTCGGTACAACGAATGATCAAGGCTTTTGTACCTATTCTAGGTCATATCCATTCTCTAGTATCTCTACCTCGTATAAAATTCCATCTGATCGAGAATTGTTTCTCCCATTTAATCGAATGATAATTCTCTGCTTCGAATCCATTGCTCATTGACTGTCCTTTGGATTTCTTGAATCTGTGTCGTTCGTTGCAACATTGGGTAACGACTTAGATACAGATGCTTTTTTTAGTCACACTGCAAGCATACGGATTTGTAGTGCTCTTAAAACTAAAGGACTTAAGGTTTTCGTTTTCTGAAAAAGAATACTTATCTGTTTTATTAGCTTATGTAGGTTTGGTTTGTGGTGTGAATTAATCATTATTCAATGAAAATTCATAAGGTGTCCTCTTACTGGAAAGAGTGCTTGTGTTTTCGTTAACGGATTTGCATCGTCGTCTTTCCTATTAGCTCGAGAAGCTGGATCTTGAGTACTGCTCGCAGGTGACGGATGCAACTCTGATACAACTGGCCACGTACTGTCCACGGATAAATACACTGGTTCTGTCACATTGTGATCAAATCACCGATGAGGGTATCACACGACTCGTCGGAGGTCTATGCGGACCACAGCAGCTGCAACGACTAGCAATGGACAATTGTCCTCTTCTGACGGATTCTTCCCTCGAGATGCTCGGCTCAGTGTGTCAGAACCTTTGTCAAGTCGATCTCTACGACTGCCAACTTATCACGCGTCAGGGCATCGAAAATCTCAAAGTAAGAGGACATGTCTGCTTCTCCGTTTGTGCAGTTTATACCGTGAATGTGAAACGTACATTCTACTGAAATAATGAAACTTTCTCTTGGGTTGCTCACGTTCTGAAGTAAGAACAGTGCTTGCCAAGTGTACAATGAGACTTCCTTAAGGCTTATTAAATGTAAAGGGTTAGTAACCCGATTATATTACTTATTCGACCGTTCCCTTTGTTTCATCCAGTAGGATTTTCCCGCTTTCTTCGACCGTTCGTGGTAAATGTCGGTTCTCTTGGTGTGCTCCTCTCAAATTCCGGCTTAATAGTCTGCACATGTTAGCTAGAAATTAGGCATTTCCTTAGAATAGTTGTTTCCATTACTAACGCACGTTTATTTGGCGACGGATGCATTAGTGGTGCACAGTTACGCTGTGATGCACCTACATTGGAGCAAACGACTCATCATGCTCTACTTAAAAACCGCCAATTAACCCTAAATCCCTTCTTTTTAATCCTGTTGCATCACTCAATTAAATAGCTTACTTTGGTGAGTACTGGACTCAGTTTTGGAAGTAAATACTTCTTATAGCAACAGAACCCGCGCCTCAAAATCCAGGCCTTCTTTGCACCGGGAACGCCGCCTGAGTCAGCTCTCGGTCACCGACGCCGCTACTGCCGATGCTGTGCCATCCTTTAACCCAAGCCCAACTCCCTCTTATCCACTGATCAACTATTCATCCACCTCGAGTCTGGCTGTGTGCGTGCATGTGCCCATGTCTATCATCTGCATCTACCTTCCCTCCTCTTCTCTAACCATTGTCTCTACCAAAAGCCGGTGCACCACAATTGTTGTTCCTGTCAGGATCTCGCGTTCAGCAACACCTGCATTTCCCACCTTCGCGAAATTACTGCACATCAGGTCCATTTTTCATCGCATTGCTAATTTTAACGTTCCTTCTGCGCTTTTTTTCGTACAAACTTATTCCTCTCCTAGCTCATTTCTCGGTGAGGCAACGTTGTGATAATTCCACCCTTGCACACGGTACTCGAGCATGGCCCCACCCTAAGTTCATGTCGACACCGTTCTGCCAGTATGGTGTTGATGATCATGGTAAAAACGATAATCCCCTGCTAAATGCATCAATTTTTCTTGAGCTTGAGACGTTTTTACACCCTAATACATATGGTTGACGTGATGATGAATAGCAGCTAGTTACAGTCGCCCAATCACGGAGTCCTTCGTAAGACTATTGGCTTAATAGGGGATATCCATGTCTGAGTGATTCGTCAGCAGCAGGTATAAATTGATATAGCCCTGGGTTGTCCCCTTCTAACTACATCTACTAATGGATTCAGATCAGTATTTGAGACACCAGAGGATAAGTTGCTAGCTGGATTCACTTGTCTTGGTGCCGTCCTTTTGGTGTTGGAAGGATGAATGCGTGGACCCGTGTGATAGAGCTACCTCACAGAATGTCCAGATTGTACGTGCTAGGGCATCAGCAGTGAAGGCATGGGAGATTACGCAATGAAAGCGTAACAAAGCCTGAGGTCTCGGGGATACGCACAAAGATGTTCCGCCTTGTGAAATGCAAACAAAACTGGCGTTGCGATTGTCCAGTGACTTTTGAAGGCACTTTAGTGAACTACAAATGTTCGCCATTCTAAACTGCGAATGTTGGAATAGGTACAGGTCATCAATCACTTCGGCTGGCGTAGTTTGATAGCTGTAGGAACCACGATAGTGCCTTCCAGATAATGTACACTAAGTACTTTCACAGACCGGAGGTGGATACTTACTGCCATGTAACGAATCCATAAGGACGTTATCCTCATGAGGTATACTAGTGCACTTAGGAGTCAACCAATGTGCAGTGTTGACGTAAGATGTCTGATCGAGGTTTTGATAGAAATTTCATGACATGGCATTTACTAGAAGCCGGCGATCTGTTACAGTCGTAGTGGTAACCGATGACGCTCAACAAGGGTAAAACTAAACAAGAAGGAATCCATTGACATAAACAAGGCGGAGCATAAACAGAATGAAGTTAACATGCCATGTCGAATAGATTTTTGGGGGTAGGCTGAATCCCAACTGCAAAATCCAAGTGGAACAATTGAAGTTGGTCCGGTTGTTCGAAAAAGTCGATTGAAGATTTAGAAAATATAAATTAAGAAATTGTCCATCCGATTCAAAAAGAGCCAGTCGCATTAAGTGAGGGGAAAATCAACAGTGTCAGGAGGAATTGGCATAAAAAGAGCTAAATACTTCGGTTAACGTTCATTCGTCGCTGAGGGATAAAAAAAAAATGAAATTTACAGGATGTTAGACGAATTCAAGACCGTATCTGCACGATATATATCCGCAGAATCAAGAACTCAATGAAAGATTATGGTATATCAGGGCCCTAAGCCTTCTCTTTGTCTCATTTCCACCGACATCGTCAGGCCTGAGGATGGAGTTTCCCAGGCGACATCCACAGAACTTTCGCTCGCCTGAATATGCGGGTCAGCATCTATGGCATCCTGCTTTGTTTTGGCTCTCCCATTCTCTTCCCTGGAGAAGCAAGAGAACCAAGTAACAACTATCTTCCACCAGAAGAAGCGACGAAACGCTCTGAGAAGCAGATCGATAAGGAGGGAAAAGAACATAAGGATAGAGAGGATGAGTGCCGTGCGGCCGAGAGTCTCGGAGGCGTTTTTATGCAATACTCGCTCTGTGAGATAGCCCGAAGTGGCGGGTACAGCCAGCTGACCAAGCAAAAAAACGAGATAGAAACGTTGGCCATGAGGGGTATAGACGTTAAGACCACTGCTTGCGGTGGCTCCCAGTCCCAAACCGAGGCCCAGCGTAGACAACCAAGTGGCACGGCCTTTGGAGGTGCACCATGGCTCAAATACCTCATCACCAGACTGATCAGACCCAGGGTAGTAGACGAGGTGAGATGTAGTCATCTCCTTCATCATACTGGCGCAAATGAAGCAGATAAGGGAGCCCGCGGTGCGAATAAAGAGTGCCGCAATGTGAAAGGATCTTTCGCGTCGACGGCTAAAACAAATGAGGAATAATTGAATCATAAAACACGATTTCGAAATCACTGTTTCAGAAAGCATCAAAAATAGACTTGACTAACATAAACACCTATAGAGAAATGCAGTACTCATTCGAGGAGAATATTTTGATTTTACAGAAGGAAATGGTGCTATCGAGCTTAAGAAATCGCACAATTTGCTAGTTCCCTTTCAGAAGTCTGCACGCAAGGATTTGCAACAGAGTATAAATGCAATCAGCTGAGTCTCGTAACCACTAATACCACCTGGAAGTATATAAATGACATCGCTAAAACTTTTAAACCTCCCATACAGATATCATAACACTACTCATCACAAAAGTTAACTTTTACAGACTTAGCATTAAAAAAGTGCTACAGCAATACAATGGAATTTGAAATGACCATAAATTTGATAATAAATCCCACATACACATGCATTGCCAAAGCACATTTTTATAATGAAAATGTGTAAAGATCCGTTGGGGAGCATGTACAATGGCTTAGGCTAAAACACTAACGCGCATGTAAGGCTTACTGAAGCGCGACCTTTGTATGGAGAAATAAGAAACTTCTATCAGGACGAGACGTCTGCATGGAAATACGATGATTAACCAGCTATCATCGGATAAAATAGTTCGCTGCCAGTTAACTCCGATGCGGAATGCTATCGAGCATCAGTAACCTCAAATTTTTGAATAACCTGGACGACTACACAAGAATACCGAAACGGTGTGAATGAAGCAACATAGATGACGTAGACCTTACCTGCGCTGAGCAAGCAACGATGAAGAGGACTGAATATTCTTTTCTGAAGGGAAATTGACGGCGTTCTGCAGAAGGCTGATGCCAATGTCTGAGTTGGCACCCAAACAGAGGTGGCAAAGGCGGCCAATTGCATCACCAGACCAAAACAGTGCTGTGACGAGTAATGCGTCCACCTAAAGAAGTCTTTACGTGCATGCATCGAGTCATCAAAACCTAATTATTGTTGCGCAAACTAAACAATTATGCGCAGTTAAAAGACCATAATGAGTAGGCAAGGAGTGATGTATGCAAACAATTTAGGATTTTAGAAGTCGCAGTCATGTTGAAAAGCGTAATGTATGAAAAACTATAAAAAAGGATGGTTCTATCGCATAAAAATCACGTGTACAAAAAAGCAAAATCGCAGACTGGTGAATAACTCTCTCGGAGGAAGCTACCAATTACGAGTAAGAAAAGAACAGACAAAAGCAATTTTGTTTCATTTCAGAATGTTTTTCAAGAGGCAAACATTTGTCGAGGCACGGAGTAGATTCGATGGATAAACAATCAGTCAGGCATATCACAAAACTGTGCACCACAGACCATGATCTTTCTATATCCGCTGATCGACAATATCGTGGCGTCAAGCGATGGCGCCAATGTGTACACATAAAATCGTAAAACGAGTCCTCACAAACTCATATATGCAAACAAAAAAGCCAAAATAGAAAGTGTGAGCACATACAAACGTGTTTGCGATCGAAACTTGATCTGCAGGACGCAAATACAGCAAAGATACCCAATCGAGAAATCATCCAACATTCGCACTCTTATAAAGCGTTTAGGAAACGCACGTCGTAAACTACTTGAAACAACAAAGCTAAAAAGAGTCGTAGTAGCCTACCGGTGTCCAATTAAGTGTTCTCAAAGTGAAGCTGTGAATGAAGGCCCCATAAGTTGTCTCTAGCCCAGCGAAGAGGAAAGTTGCAGCAAGCACCCAAAAGTCCGTTGGCCAAGTTACTAGGGGCCAGATTGTCGGTTCAGGCGCGTAAGTTAGGTATACCGACTGCTCCGGTGTCTGGAAGGTTCCGTTGGCATCCACATTAGACTCAACATTCTTACGATGAGCCTGAGACGGGTTATGACGAACTGATCGAAGAACAGCGAGATTCGGTACCGATACACTGACATGTAACATAGGCTTTTCCTGAAGTTGACCGTTTTCCCCCTTAACACTCCATGCCACCGTCTTGGATTCTATTTGAGGAGGCGGTGACTCATTTTCTGTGAGGCTTCTAATCTCAGGTTGTGGATCTTCAGCAAAATCTGGACAAACCAAACCAAATATTACCAGAAATCCAGATCAAATTAAAATATTTAGTAAGCACTCACCAGTTCGCTCCACATCATCATTTGATTTCGCATTAAAACCTCTACGAGATTGTTCTTCAACCTGGGAGCTTTGACGAAGAGATGCTTCAGTCGCAAAACATTCAAAAAAATGGCGAACGTAAGGGATCAACCCGGTGAGTGGAAGCAAAATGAACCAAGCGATAATCGTCAACAGGCCAACGGACACATAAACGCATTTAACGGACTTCATGTACTGATACCGCATATGCTCATCACGGTAGCGACGCGGAATCCTCCTATCCCATTTGGTATTATATGAAGATGTGAGACGATATGAGTCGTTCGACCGAAGCTTTGACTCATGATTCTGCGATGAGGATTCAAGAGACATAGGAAATGAAACAGAGTCGTTATTTGGAAGGGGATTCGCAGTCGTAAGGACAGGTGATTTTGACGACCTGATGGTATCATTTCTAATCGATTCAGGTTTAGGTTCTTGCGGTACTAAAGATGGTACAATGATCAGCGGCAATTTAGGCTCGTTATCGTGCAACTTCTCGCCATGTTTCATTTTGTCCGCAGTACTACTACCATCAGCGGTTTTCTGATCTTGACTAAGGTGAGTTGCATCAACAACCGATGGTTTTTTCATTTCGCCATCCTTCTGGACCTCTAAAACACCGGAATCTTCCGAATTAGTGAGTCGAACATCACCGTCAGCTAACTTCATTTTAGCTGCCGTATTGCTACCATCAGCCGAACTGCTGTCCTGGTTCAAATGTTCCGCATCCACAACAGAAGGCTTCATGGGAGCTTCCGATACGCTGCTTAAGCCGGAGGGTTTAGTTTTAAAAAATCCCCCAGAAGATGTAGTTACACGGATTTCCTCCACGTCGGGAACCACAAAACTTGTTGAAGTGTTGAAAAAAGAGCCCTGGGAAGAAGCAGTAAGTGGAGCGCTTGAGGTGGAAGGCGATGGTGCCGGTGAGCTCCCACTACTATTATACGCTGGAAAACTACCCGATTGAGGTGTTATGTTTGTTGTACTTGTTACTAGTAGAGAGTTAATCATACCTTGCTCTAGCGAAGCCTTGTACGGCTGGGACGTTGCCACTGTAACATCTTCGATAAAGACTCCAGACATTTGGTTGAGTAAGAGATTTTTAGCCACTGTGCTATCAAGATGCTCATTTGGAGAACGCAGAGGGCGCAGGACTGTTTGCACAACGGAATCATTGGTAATGGAAGCACTCGAATTAAGCAGCGATACAATAGAAGTTTCATTATTAAAATTCGCCCCAGAAGTAAACGGAATAAAGAGGAATGGTGTTAATGCGTAACCAACCAAACTGCAGAAAACAAGTAATTGGTGGATGCGCCTGGGAGACTCAGAACATTTGGTGACATAAGCTAGACAACCTAAAAATTTTAAATAAACGGGAGTTAAACGGCAGCAACTATTAAAAGGAGGACTGCTACAATAGTTTAAATGTAAGTCTTAACTACACACAAGAAACCAATTCCCAAGGCAACAGGAGACGATAGTAGCTTTATCATATGTAAAAAAGTTCATCGTTACGAATGCACGATTCTCTACGGCACTAATAGGCACCAATAAGTACTTCACAACCAAATTGATAACAGCAAATTATGCGGTACATTACGCTCACCTTGAGCCGCAACCACTATAAAACTCCCTTGAAAAGCAAATGCAGCCAAAAGCCACCATAGATGATACGAAAACGCAACACCAAAGTTGACAAAAGTGAGACCAAAGAGACCGAATCCGATAAGACTACCGCAGTGATCAGGTGTGTCTTCCAAAATGGCAACAGACAAAAGCCATCCACCCAAGGCACCGACAGAGCGACTAGTAAAAATCAACGCTATTTCATCTTCCCAAGTATGCACAATTTCCTCAAGAAATATCACAGACGGTCCGGATACAGACACCGACACACCCTAAATTTTGAGGTGAAGTTAGGCGACGCAGCTAACCATAATGGCAAAAGCTATTATAAAGGAACATAATGCATAGGGCGATAATCGCGAAGGAAAACCATTTCGTGAAGAAAAACAAATCGACCTCCCAGCGAGAACCATCGCTAGCTCGCTCAACAACGACCTCAATTAAATCGACGCTTCACACGACGAATGATTCAAACTAGAGTAAATTAAACAAAGAAAGGAAGATAAGAAAAGTGCTATAAATGCATCGCAAAATCAAATGCCATTACCACTAAGCCAGCAGTTCTTACAACAACAAGAGGCATTAAGTTTTGACAGTGGAACTATATCCTACAAACAAAATGTAAAGCTGTCCAGCTTATAAGTGACTTAGAATATTTGACACCCGCATAGATACCGCAGAGAACGACATGTGTGTGTAGATGTAACTGAAAAACAACTGCGATGCGAATTTTCCAGGTAGCTTCAAGGCAGATGCATATTCCACTGTTAGTAGCTTGCACATGGCGCATGGGAATAGAGTTAAAGCCAATGAGAGAAGTCATTTTTAGCCAGTTAATTCAAAAGAGATGAGGATTTCACCCATCCATAGCGTTTGCACTTCATTCTCGTCGTTAATTTTGTGACTAAAAATGGGAATCATTATGGAGGTCAATCCAAAATTAAGTGGTATGTCAATGCCTTTCATTAGGTACTCTATAAAATACCTCCATGTTCATTCGATGCGTAATAAAAATGGGCTATAGGACGGCCCGGAGTATATCGCACTCGCTACGTGCAATATGATCCTCACTCTTACAGGCAGTCGTGCAAACAAAGGAAAAAACACTAACTACTCCAATCGAGGGCTGAGCCTGATATCTGTCTTGGCATCTTGCAAAAAACGCCAATAATTGTGGAAGCGACGCTTCCACCAGTCGTTGAAGGGGTTTTGTTACTAACTCTTGCCATACTTTGTTAAGAATGATGAGTAGGTGAGTTTTCAATGCCAACTCTGTCAACTAGATGTACTGTAAATGTGTTAGTTTTGAGTTGATTTTCATATATTGCGCATTATATAATGCATGAAAACCTTTGTTTAAATCGACCCTGTGCGTCAAGAACAACTTTCGAAAGCGATGGCCGCATTGAGAGGAACAAGTGAATTTTACCGAGATCCTCTCTGTCTCTAGATTTCTTTCCTACTCTCATATCATTGCGTCCAATCTGTTTAGGCGGAAAAAGTACCAGATATAAGGAAATAACAGAAAGAGGCTTTGACGGAGGCGAGGTTGTGCCACACATTGGGCTATCCATGGGTTTGAGTTAGCTTTCTTAATCAAAGTTGAAAGGCCTCTCAAACAGGTTCTCAACCATAACAGCGGCATTTCGCCTAAAGTAGATATCTTAACGTTCTGGTTAAGGTGACTGAATACAGCTGAATTTACTGAATTTCGTGGCACGGACTTGCTTTAAGTCCCACCGTTTACTCCACATACATGTCTGGACGTGTAGCATCCTAAAACGCCCAACTCAATAACAGAATACATAAAACTTTGCTAAAAGTATCTGTTAGGACAGAAAATGTGGAAGGAAGGATTTGTTGTCCCTCGATGGCCAGTCATTCCATCAAATGCTGGATGGTCACTAAATCGACCATCTCACATAACGGCAGCTTGATGAACTAAGTATTACATAGCCAGACAATCGTTGTTTTTGTTTTGTAGAGTAGTCTGAGCGTGGTACATCCATTAAATGGTTTAAGGACCGTTTCTTTTCAGAAAAGTTCTGTGATTTGCCATACTGCCAAAGATGAATATCGTATTTGTGGCGTATCTACTCCATCTCAAACTTGAATACTTTAGTAGCCATAAAAGGCGATTTGTCCTGCCAAGTTCTATTTGGCATTTAATATGGCGTATAGGACGAATTAGTGATATTACTACTAGAAGTCACCGTTAGGCCAGGAAAGGCTTCGCACCCTATTTTGACGCGGAATTTGTGTTAAAAGATCTCCTTCCCTCTGTAAGGACAATTAGAACGTAGTTATTAATAATCTTGTATTAATTGATTTAGACATGCATGTCCATGTCCATTTCCATTAATTTTGTAATGCACAATAATAATAGTTTGGAATTAATTGATCTACGCATTGTGTTTGCGAGTTTGGAATGGTATCTGTAGGCTTCAAGGAGTTCTCTTATGGAATCGCCGTGTTAATATCGTTCTTGCAATGTCCTTCATCTAAATGCGTCTAGTTACGTATGAAATGGAGTTGGTCCAGTGCTTACTTGTTAATGATAGTTGCCGGGATAAAATAGATTCTGAGATATTTGACGCAAAAGTCAAGAACTCAGATAGCATTAGCTTTGAAAATTGTGAGCTTGCGTCCATTCCAAGTGAAATTCTGACTTTTACTCAACTGCAGGTAAATTACTAGCATGTGATTATTTTACAGCGTCTCTCACTTTATGGTAATCAGATTTGTTCGTTGCCGGACATCTTTTTCTACTCCTTTCCCCAATTGACCTGGTTGGATCTTCGTTTTAATTTTCTTTCTGCCATTTCTCGGGCCGTCAAAAATTTGCAAAGGATTAAGAACCTTCTCATTGGGCACAATAAAATAGAGAGGTTGTGTTTGGAACTCGGAGGAATTGAAAGTCTTATGGGGCTTAATATTGAAGGGAATCCTCTCCTATTCCCCTCTAGAAATATCATTAATAAGGGGTCAAAGTATGTTTTGCAGTATCTCAAAGAGTGCTATGCAAGGCGGACGCAGTTGGAGAGTAAGTCTTCTTGTGTAGTAATTCGGGTGAGGCATCCTTAACGCACAATATTGGGCATTCTGGCGTTTTTGCGCAGTATTGAAGTGTTTTGCGTTTGTAAATTGCGCTTTCCTTTCACGCATTATTATTTGAGGTCGGTTGTTCCGTTATTCACTTCAGGCGTTGGAGTCAGCCGTTATTTGGTGCTTCTATTAACTAACTTCGTTTCTTCCATTCATGCTCTTATTTTATTCAGTGAGTCGATCCATTCGTTCCTGATAGATTTTACTCTTCTTTTGTGAGTCTAAATCTATTTCGCCCCAATAGCTGCAAGCGGAGGAACCGGGAGGATTTTGCGCCATTTATGCATAATGGGTTAATTCACCAGTCAGCAAATTATGCAATCCAATGAAATAAACACTCATTTTTCTTATCATTTTTATGGAGCAGCTAAGTATTGCTGCTATGGATTCTATTAAGGGACAGGCATTCCTGAAAACAATAAATAAATTGGCCAATACCTTGCTAGATTTTTGTTTTTTTAGACAAGACCGAGACACTGTCTGCTCCTTCCTTTGATCTACAAGTATATATTGATGACATTGCTATCCAGAATGTGGACAGAGAAATCCTCTCACGGGAAAGTGGTCGAGACCCTAATTTTCCTTCGCGATCATTGTCATCCTTGTTTAAATCTAAACTGCATCGCCGAATGGCGGAGAAACTCCGAAAAAGTCCTGGGCTTGGGAGGTTTATTTGCTATAAACTCAAATAAAATATTAAATTAGTGGCACTTTGGGACACTCGTGGCATGTATTGCCTCGCCAGTCAGGCAGTAAATTGGCATCGGACGAATCCATTTGGCAAAGTGAAAGAAGTGAACGCATTCAACGCAAACGAAGATGGGTCAAGATGAGGCAAGATTCAGTTCTTCAGCGATGGAAGTACGCCAACTTTTCTCGTATTTTGTGTTCCTGGAGTTGTTTGAAGGCGGGATTGTTTTATTTTTAGAGACCGTGAAGTGATTGATGGGTGGAAAACAAATTACCGTAATAAACAGGATTTACTTTTATCTGTATATCAGGAAAAGGCACCGTCGGAAATTAAGGAAGGTGGTCAATTACTATCATAAAGGCACCGGTGCACATCTCTTTCCTCAGCTGTCTAAATAAACGTTTTCTTGTATCAAGAGTCAAGGGGTCGTATCCGGGCGGCACCATTTGGTGTGAACGCTGAAGCTACATTCATTATCTCATCTCTAGAGTTGGCAAAACTGAAAACAGCAGCTTGTCCTGCCATTTCGTCTGATCCGCCTCCACGACCTCGAAGTGAAAGGTTCATTCTCCAACTGGAGGAGGATAGGTATGCATGTTTACGTCTGGCAATTCCATTAGACGACTCAGGGACAACACTCTTATCGATGAGATCAACGAACAGGTCTACTTATTGGGTGCGAAAATGGACAATCCATGTCTACCCAAGAGTTTGACTGATGCCAAAATAGATTTGGTTAATGTATGTGATTTACTTAAATCAGATAGGTAGAGTTGCTTTCCCACCGTTGCTGGCGCATTTTCAAAGGCTCTTTCTCTTCAGGCATTGAAACTGCAACTGAAAATAAGAAATCGTCGTGATGTACTCACCCAACTAAAACCTGGAACTAATCCAACGGCTTTCATGGAGTAATTAAAATACACATTTGCAAATCATTTGCTAGTGTTTATGGCGGAGATAAAAGCAAGGTCAGGGCATCAACGGTCCAATGGTCATGATTTGAAGACGAATCGTCATCGTTTCTACTAGGTTTGAACGATGCGCCGGAAAGTATCAAATGGAGACCCTAATAATACACATCTCCCAGTTTGAATCCTGTTCGTGATGTTTAGTACGTCTATCGTTTTCCTCTTATCGTGAAGCGTTGTGTTGGTCGCCTGCTGTCCAAAGTAGCGGTCTTCAGTACGCCCTCTCACCGAGCTCGTGCAGTTGACTTACAGGGACCATTGCGTCCAGTAACCCGGTTACTTTGTTTCATGTTATCTTTATATTGGAATTTTCGTCTGTCCCTTTCGAGGCCAGGTCAGAATCCAGATTGAGGCAACCTTTCGGGTAGCTGATCAAAGGTTTCTTAATATGCCTACAAAGTTCTGAGTGTCAATTTATAGGTTGTGGTGGACTTCAAGCGCAGAAAAAACCGACGATTCCTGGGAGTATCACTACTTTTTAACCAACTCTAGGGAATGAAGAGGGACTGAATGGACAAAGAAGTCCAAAATTGCAGTGTTCACTTGTCTTATTTCTTCGCCTATTTGGCT